ATTCTAGTACTGTTGCCGAAGTGTCGGTTCCACCACTGAACATATCCTGCAATGACGACGCAAAGTGATCATTAACATTATCAAACCTGAAGATACATTAGATTCAAAATTAAATTGGGTGCTTTGTCGTTTTCTAGCTCTAACTGCCTTCGGTACTATTGGCTCGCTTTTGGTCTCGCGCAGACGGAAGCATTTGATTTCTTTCTAGATATGTAATGGCAGAGCAACATATAAGTAAGGAGTACTAACCCAAATAACAGCTTTGATGTTGTCAGCTGTGATTGGGACGTCAAGGTTTTCACTTCGCTGGATTCGTAGAAGAACCTGAACCAGATTTTTTTCCTCCGAAGCACTCTTGCCCCCTTCTTCTCTCATCTCCTTCTGTTGATTCTCCTTGATAATATCATCTAAAATTTTGTCCATATGCTCACGGATCCTCGCCAGCTTTGCTTCCACTCCAGTTATGAGATGAATGAGTTTCAAGGAAGGAAACAAATCAACAAGTTTAAACCCGCTAATTTGTTCTAATACTGCAGTGAGTAATTGCAATAGCTGTTCTTGATCTTTATGCTTGTCGCCAAATGCTACCCTCATAACTACAGAACTAGTCAATGAGTACATCTTGTTCGTGAGGTCGAAAACCGAACCTACTGATGATTGAACCGACTCAATAAGCTTAGACACCTGATGAAATGAGGTAAACGTTAATGAAGAAATCTCAATCTAGTCATACTGGAATATTTCATTGGAAATCGTAATCTTATTAAGGATTCGTATCAGAAGCTGCTGCGAGAAACAAATAAGGGAAAATCCCAAAAAAGTGACTATTGAATTTTAAAATGCCAAATCAGGAATTACTGTAAAAATAAGTTGTCATTTACTCTTTGAATATAGTCATTTTCTTTATGAATGTAGTAATGAATACTGATTTAGAATTTTGAAATTCAGCTATCATTTTTTTGGGATTTTCCCAAAAAATAAATAACTGTCGTTGAATGGATGCGGCTTCTCTCCTCTGTCCGGTGCCAATCTTTAGTCTCTACCCTCAAAACCACGTCGTTTAGGGGCAAAACAAAGGAGGTGGATTTTTTTTTTTTAAATCTTGATCTCTAAAATATTTTTTCGATGTGATCTAGCACCTTAAATTAATTGTTAGTGCACTTATCATATTAAAATATTTTTCTACTGACACTCATTATCTAAAACCTATCACTCTGAAGTATATTCTACTAATATCCAGTATTTTAAAATAATTTTTAATCCACTTAGCATGTTAAAATATTTTTTTTCAATAACACTCACTCTCTAACATCCAACAAAATAAAGTATCTTTCAGCAGTGCCTAGGATTTTAAACTAAATTTTGATACATCCAACACCCTAAAATATTACACAAAAATTACTTTCACATATTAAGTGTTACTGAAAAAAATATTTTGAGATGTTAAATGTACTAAAAATTTGCTCAGAATACTAGGTAATAATGAAAAACTACTTGTGTGATGATGTTACATATTGGGTATTACTGATAAATTTTTTTAAAATATTAGGTGCTACTGAAAAACATTTCAGAGTGATAAATGTTAGATATTGAACGGTAGTAATATTTTAGTATGTTGAGCACGCTAATAATTAATTTAAGATACTGAATAACATTGAAAAATATTTTAAGGGGCCGAATTTTTTTATTTCCCTCTCTTGTTTTGCCCCAAAACTGGGGGTAAAGGATGGCGGATGGGGGCGGACAGTAAGGGTAGAGGAGAGAAGCCGCGTTTTGATGTTGAATATCTAAACTAAATGTTATTTTTTCGTTTCTAAATATAAGATTTATTTTGTAATATAAATTATTTTACAAAATTAATCTCATATTTAAAATCGAAAAAATAAATAACTTATGTTATATAGTAGGAGTGGCTGCGAGGATCCATTATTCTACTTTATCAACAACTAATCTTTTAGATATGTAACTCTTTACATGCACGAATTGATAAGTGATGCCCAAAAATTAATAATATCCGAAAGTTACAGTCAGTGTTTAACTAGAATGATGAACAAGGGATTTCTTAGTAAATGTCTTTCCATGTAATGCCAAGAGTCCAGAGTTCTCCACATCAAATATCTAAAATAAGATAAAATAATCGAATGTTGGCAGAAGATATTATATAAATTGTGTGTACCTCATCTTCTCGTACATAGGAAAATGACTGAACCTTTTTGGCGCTGAAGAGCTCCAAAGTACATATTTTCCTCATCTGTCTCCAATAATCACCGTAAGGAGCAAAAGCAATGTCAGTTCTTCCGTACGTGAAAATCTTACTAGCAATAGAAGCTTGTGACCTCTGAACAAAGGCAAGATCATGCGTCTTCATAATCTGCTTGGCCAGATCTGGGGATGACACAACCACTGTTGAAATCTCACCAAGTTGAAGGTGCATGAGAGGCCCATACTTGAGAGATAGCTCTCGAAGGGCACACTGTGGAAGTGGTGACTCTGCTGCTGCCAACTGATGAAGATTTCCCAGCAGAGGAAGCTTCCATGGCCCTGGGATTTTAGTCTGCGCCTTATTTCTTGGCTTTCTAAGCCAAAGGAACGTCAAGAACAAGATGATGAAGGAAACAAGAAGCAAGGGAGAAAACTGGTACTCCATATGGGTTTGCCTTCTAACTGACGCACGTATATTCAAGCAACTTTTGTGAGTATATATTTCTGTATGTTTGTGTGTAGCAGTGAGTGAATATATATGAGAATAATATCGGATAAACATGTGGCCACTAATGAAACAGGTCAGATTTCTTATCTCCTTAAAATTGTGGTTTCGAGTGTGCCTAGATTCTTTAGTGCAGAAACAGACGTCAAAAGGAGCAACCGATCGATGTGATTAAAAAAAGGAAGAGACAGGTTTTAGATGGAAAGCAAGAGCAGTCGTCATTTGCCATTCAATAACAGAAAAAAACAAGCAAATGCCGACAATGATTAATGCGAGGACCGACTGTGATTGGTGCTTGTTATTTTTTTGCCCACTCACATTTTTGTTAATATTTTCATAAAAATTATTTTTTTACAAAATATAGTTCAAATAAAAATATTTTATATTTTTTATCAATTCACTTAAGATTGAATTATTAATGATATTCTTACTCCTCTTCCTAAGGTCTAAAATTCCATTTAAATTCATGTGGAAAGTATATCTAGGGTTATTATTTAGATTTACTACAAAATATTTTAAGCTACTGAAATAAATCACAAAATAGTCTAGAATAAATTCATATTTAGAGAGTATGAAATGGCCATGAAGAAATAGAGTGAGAAGTGAAAAATATGACAATAAAGAGGGTCCAAGTTGCACCCCAAAAAAATGGTGAGGGTGCTCATCAAAGGAAAAATGGTGAGGGTCTTCAAAGCATTATGTCAAAATCAAAGTCAATAATTATGCTAATAATAGAAAAGAAAAATGAAGGTACGGATAAGAATATACATTTTCGGTTTTAGTAGATTTAAATTAAAATATAAAACAAGATTAAAAATGTATAGATTATTTCAATAAATTTATGAGAACAAGCCAAAACCTCACGGTTACGAGGTAAATATCACCAAAGGTTGAAACATCCCGAGACATGGACCGCCAAGACGCCTCACCCATAAGGAAATGGCAATTGACGGATCGCGCATAAGTGGAGAGGGTGATATTTTTTTTCCGAATAGATATCTTTATATTAAAATTAATCATATTCGAGATACTGTCAGACACTTTACGGGTACCTCTTCTAATAGGAAATTGAATTTTTTTTAATTTTTATTTACGTTGTGTAGCAGTAACGACCCAATCTTATCGGTTAGAGGGCGGTATCCCAAACAGAAGCAAAATGAGATTGTGAAGAAGTTGTGGCCTGATCTGGATGAGAGGCGGCAGCCCACTTATGAGATGATGCCCAAGTCACAAGCCCACCGCAATGTCTTGTCTGATCATGGTTCTGCTTGAAGCTAACATGTGCTGATCTAGGACGAATGGGTTCGAGTTAAAAACTTATGCAAACACTAAAAATTTATTGTATATATCAAGAATAATACTACTTCCGTTCCTAATTATAAGAGTCAGTCGACTAATTTGAGAAAATTAAGAAAAAAGTTAAGTTAGTTATTTGTAATAAATAGATATTGTCTTTCCTAAAATATCCTTACTAATCAAGTATGTTGGTTAAAACTATAATTGTTAGAAAGATTATCTTGAAAAAAATTGAGTAAATATGAGAGATAAAATAGATTAGGATCTTATATTTAGTACCAATATAAAAGTCAAATGGGGTCTTATATTAAGGATCGGTGGTAGTATTATAATACCATACATATTTTTTCAAGAAATAAATAAGCTCAATTTTATGTGGGTCGGCCAAATCCCTATCTGTGCGTGTGAAATTAGGAAGTAAAAAGAAAAATTTGTGTCCAAGTTCTCCATCCTTATTTCCCATATGGAAGGAGAGCTCTAGCGCTTAAGGGTTATTGGTGGACAATTGTTGCGTGACGAAAAACATTGGATTTAGTTTGAAGGGATGAGCATCAAATCTAGATCATTCATATTAAAATTAGATAGTTATATAAGCAAATTTGAAAAAAAAAAAAGAAGAAGAAAAGATTGTACATTATAAAAAGTTAGCAATAAAGGATAAATCTCTGTGGAGGGTATTTTGAAAAAAGAAATTAAATCTCATACTTCTAATTATGTTACTTGATTTATATGATGCACTCAATTGTTTCTTAATTATGGATAACTTTAGGGGAAGTAATTATCATGCCTCCCTTTCTTTTGGCTAGCAGCACTATCGCCTTCATCATGGTCCAATAAGCTGTGGTCAAAACCACATCACGGCTTGGTGGTGGCAGCCTGTGCTTCGCTTTCGCCTCTTAAAATAGTCATCTATTGTTTATTATACTCACGTAGTCAAATTTGCAATTAATCCTTCTAACTATTTAACACTCAAAATTACACCACAATCAACTCGTTAGATAACAAAAGTAAAAGAAGCATGTATCAGATTTCAAGTTTACATAATCGACCGAGATACAGGGCAGGTAACTTCGATCCATTTAAGTACAACAGTTCATAGTACTAAATAAAACCTCAGGATTCACCATACGCATTTTCGAACATTCTTACACATATGTAAAGATTCCGTTTTGTTGACCTATCTTTGAAGGGGACAAGTTATTGTTCCAAATCCAAAATATAATCCATACCCACATCGCATGATAGTAAAGAACAAGGAGATCAAGAGACTACTATTGTGGGTGGGTACGTGCTTTCACTAGGAGCTGCCAATAACAGAATCAGTATTGTATGGTGTGGGAATCAAACACAAATTGTTCTTCCTTTTGTTTGTGATTGCAGCAGCCGCAGTCATATCTAAATCCTCGGGTTCCATTCCATGTGGGAGTTTCCAATCGAAGTGGTACAGTAAGCTAGCCAGAGGAAGCTCAACGCTTGCTAAGCCAAATGAAATGCCCGGACACATTCTTCTTCCTGCTCCGAAAGGGATGTACTCAAAGTTTGTTCCTTTGAAATCAATGTCAGAATTATTGCCTTGGAACCTCTCTGGTATAAACCTCTCTGCATCGTACCAGTAATTTGGATCTCTTCCAAGTGCCCATGCATTTATTATAATTTGAGTTTTGATGGGTATTTCATAGCCACTAATCTTGCTGGTTTCTCTACATTCTCTTGGAACCAACAAAGGAACAGGCGGGTACAGCCTCAGAGTTTCTTTGATCACTAGTTTTAAGTAACTAAGTTGAATCATATCACTATCACGAATTACTTTCTTCCCTTTGAAAACGTTTCTAACCTCAGCTTGCGCCTTTTCCATCACTCTAGGATTTTTCATCATTTCTGACATGGCCCATTCCAGCACTGTTGCCGAAGTATCGGTTCCACCAATGAACATATCCTGCAATGACGACACAAAGTGATCATTAACATTATCAAACCTGAAGATACATTAGATTCAAAATTAAATTGGGTGCTTTGTCGTTTTCTAGATCTAACTGCCTTGGGTATTATTGACTTGCTTTCGGTCTCGCGCAGACAGAAGCATTTGATTTCTTCCTAGATATGTAACGGCAGAGCAACATATAAGTAAGGAGTACTAACCCAAATAACAGCTTTGATGTTGTCGGCTGTGATTGGGACGTCAAGGTTTTCACTTCGCTGGATTCGTAGAAGAACCTGAACAAGATTTTCTTCCTCCGAAGCACTCTTGCCTCCTTCTGCTCTCATCTGCTTCTGCCGGTTCTCCTTGATAATATCATCTAAAATTTTTCCTATATTATCACGCATCTTCACCAGCTTTGGTACCGTTCCAGCTATGAGATGCATGAGTTTCAAGGAAGGAAACAAATCAACAAGTTTAAACCCGCTCATTTGTTCTAATACTGTAGGGAGCAATTGAAGTAGCCGTTCTTGATCTTTATGCTTGTCGCCAAATGCTACCCTCATAACTACAGAACTAGTCAATGAGTAAATCTTGCTCGTGAGATTGAAAACCGAACCTACGGATGATTGAACCGACTCTATAAGCTTAGACACCTGATGAAATGAGGTAAACGTTAATGAAGAAATCTCAATCTAGTCGTACTGGAATATTTCATTAGAAATTGTAATCTTATTAAGGATTCATATCAGAAGCTGCTGCGAGGGGAAAAAAATCTGTCACTCAAGTGTTAAAAATGTGATGTTGAAAATCTAAAATAAATGCTAAGTAGCTACGTTCGATGGTAGGAGTGGCTACGTGGATCCATTATTCTACTTTATCAACAACTAACAATCTTTTAGATATATAACTCTTTACATGCATGAATTGATAACTAATGCCAAAAATTATTAATATCCGAAAGTTACGGTCAGTGTTTAATTAGAATGATGAACAGTAAATGTCTTTCCATGTAATGCCAAGAATCCAGGGTTCTCCGTACCAAAATATCTAAAATATAATATAAAATAATCGAATTTTAGCAGAAGATATTATATATGTTGCGTGTACCTCATCTTCTCGTACATAGGAGAATGATCGAACCTTTTTGGCGCTCAAGAGCTCCAAAATACATATTTTCCTCATCTGTCTCCAATAATCACCGTAAGGAGCAAAAGCAACATCAGTTCCTCCATACGAAAAAATCATACCAGCAGTAGAAACTTGTGGCCTCTGAACAAAGGCAAGATCATGCGTCTTCATAATCTGCTTGGCCAGATCTGGGGATGACACAACCACAGTTGAAATCTCACCAAGTTGAAGGTGCATGAGAGGCCCATACTTGAGAGAGAGCTCTTGAAGGGCACACTGTGGAAGTGGTGACTCTGCTGCTGCCAACTGATGAAGGTTTCCCAGCAGAGGAAGCTTCCATGGCCCGGGGATTTTGTTCTGCGCCTTATTTCTTGGCTTTCTGAGCCAAAGGAACGTCAAGAACAAGAAGAAAGGAATAAGAAGCAAGGAAGAAAACTGGTATTCCATATGGGTTTCCTTCTAACTGACGCACGTATATTCAAGCAACGTTTGTCAGTATATATTTCGGAGTGTTTGTGGGTAACAGAGAGTGAATATATATAAAAATAATATCGAATAAACATGTGGCAAATAATGAAACGAGTCCAGATTTCTTATCTCCGTAAAAGTTAAAATTGTGGTTTCGAGTGTGCCTACATTCCTTAGTGCAGAAACAGACGTCAAAAGAAGCAATCGATCGATGGAAAATCACACAGGTCTCACAAAAAAGATTTTATTCATTTAAGATCTCATAAAATATCAAAATTACTGACAGGTATCAAGGGATCTTAAAATAATATATTCTATTTGTAAAATAACATTATTGCCCCTCACATTTCAAATTCAGCTTTGCTCTGTCATTGCGATTTACAACCTCAGCAATGATTATTAACAACCTAATGAGAAGGTATTGACAATCTAAACAGTATCCGTTAACAACTTATTTTATAAGATCACATAACCTCCACATAAGAGTAAATTATAACCAAATAGTATAATACAACAACTTTAACACTAAAATGAAAAACTTTTTGAAATCATTAAGAATTTTAACTAAACCCGAAAGGATTATAATAAAATTTTAATGCGGAGATCCATTGACAACCTCAACGGTGAGTATTAATAACCTAAGAAGAACTATTAACAACATTAGTAGTGTCTGTTAACAACTAACTTTATAGGATAATATAGGTCTCTCTACTAGGGATGGATGCATATGTACTTAAATTACAGCAAATGGTACGCAGAGGTTGCCCTCAATCCCTCCGCGAGCTTACAGGATATATTATCCTATAAAGTTAGTTGTTAACAGACACTCTAAGGTTGTTAACAGTTTTTCTTAGGTTATTAATACTCACCGTTGAGATTGTCAATGGATCTCCGTATTAAAATTTTGTTATAATCCTATTGGGTTTAGTTAAAATTCTTAATGATTTCAAAAAACTTCCCATTTTAGTGTTAAAGTTGTTGTATTATACTATTTGGTTATAATTTACTCTTATATGGAGGTTATGTGATCCTATAAAGTAAGTTGTTAACAGATACTGTTTAGGTTGTGAATACCTTGTCATTGGGTTGTTAATAGTCGCTGCTGAGGTTGTAAATCGCAATGATAGAGCAAAGGTGAATTTGGAATGTGAGGGGCAGTAGCGTCATTTTACATATAGAATATATTAGTCTACGGTCCCTTGAGATCTGTCAGTAATTTTGACATTTTATAAGACCTTAGATGAATAAAATCTTTTCTGAGACCTGTACGTAATTTTTTCATACAAAAAATGAGAACTGTACGTAATTTTTTCATACAAAAAAGGAAGGGACAGATCTTAGAGGGAAAGAAAGAGTCGTTGTCATTGGTCATTCAATAACAGAAAAAAACAAGCAAATGCCGACAATGATTAATGCGAGGACGCACTGTCATTGGTGCGGGTTTTTTTTTTTTTTTTTCCACTCACATTTTTGTTAATATTTTCATAAAAATTATTTTTTTACAAAATATTACTCAAATAAAAATATTTTATATTTTTCATGACATCACTTAAAATTGAATTATTAATGATATTCTTACTCCTCTTCCTAAAGTCTAAAATTCCATTTAAATTCATATGGAAAGTGTATCTAGGGTTATTATTTAGATTTACTACAAAATATTTTGGAACATGAAATGAATCTAGAAATCTAGTTTAAAGCACTGATTAAATCTTTAGAGTATTGAATAAATTGCAAAATAATTTAGAATACTGGATGCACCTCTTATTTAGAGAGAATGAGATCGCCATGAAGAAGTAGAGTGAGAAGGGGAAATTATGACAATAAAAAGGTTACCCCAAAAAAATGGTGAGGGTCTTCAGAGCATTATGTCAAAATCAAAGTCAATAATTATGCTAATGATAGAAAAGAAAAATGAAGGTAATGAGAAGAATATACATTTGAGGTTTTGGTGGATTTAAATTAAAATGTAAAATAAGATTAAAAATGTATAGATTATTTCAATAAATTTATGAGAACAGGCCAAACCTCACGGCCACGACGCAGATGTCACAAAAGGTTGAAATCTTCCTGGGTTATGGACCGCCCGAAACACCTCACCTATAAGGAAGTAGCAATTGAAGCATGACTCATCAGTGGATGAGGTGATATTTTTTTCCCTATATACAAGTTTTTTTTAATTATAAACAATCCTATTTAAGATACTTTCTCTCTCAAAATAAATAAACTCAATTTTATGTGGGTCGGCCAAATCCCTATCTGTGTGTGTGTGTGTGTGTGTGAAATTAGGAAGTAAAAAGAAAAATTTGTGTCCAAATTCTCCATCCCTATGTCCCATATGGAAGGAGAGTTCTAGTGCTTAGGGGTTATTGGTGGACAATTGTTGCGTGATGAAAAACATTGGATTTAGCTTGAAGGGATAAGGATCAAATTTAGATAATTAATATTGAAATTGGACGCTTCAGATTTGATATGAACAGATTTGAAGAAAGAAAAGATTGTACATGTGGTGGCCCATAAATGTATCCCATAAATGGAAAGGAAGTTGTAGCTTAAAGGTTATGGTCTTTCCTTTGAGGTTTAGTGACTATATTTGTTAGATTTTTAAAAGTAATTTTCCGGAGTCTGAGGCAAATATGTGAGAAAAAATTTATCTTATCTTATATAAATATACTGTTTTAAGTGCTTTTCAGGATTTTCAAACACCGTACCCTTTTAGTATAAACATATCATAAGATGAACGCGTTCGGACGAAGGGAGGAAATAACAAGATCATAGGGTCTTCATCACCTACTTGGTAATATCTGGGGATGATACTACTGTAAAAAGCTCACCAATTTTTTTTGGCCAAAGAGAGCTCACCAACTCACCAACCACGGCTTGGGTCTTGCGGAATGACTTAGTTCCTTACATCAGTTACATGAAATAATATTTGAATTCCTATTGAAAATGGTGTTCATATTAAGTATCTAATTATGTCTCGAATAAAAGGATAAATGTGAACAGTAAAAAAATTTGACACGCAATTCTTTTTTTCCCCTTTGATATGCAATTCTCCAATAAACTCCTCCCGCCTATTATTTTAGAGGGTAATTTGATTCCATTTATAAGACAAATTGAAATTCATTATTCTTCTGATTTTAAAAGCTAAAATTTAAAAAATTATTTGGAGGCGACGATTTTGTCAGCATTCTCATCCACCTAGGCCTTGCCCGCATAAGATTCTCCCCTAATGTTTCGATATATTTTCTTTTTTGTAAATAAAAAAAATCTGAAAACTCAGTTCTCTACAGGTAACTGATTCAGCTTCATCGTGAATAATAACGTCAGCGTTAATTAAATCAGTAAATAAGTTAATCAATTGATTTCATATGCTCATATAAGCTCCCAAGTCCTAATTGTTATGAACGGCGTTGTAAAGGGGGAGTACACATGGACGTGTCAGCATGTTTACATGGAGGCATCCGTAGCGGTTGTCAAATGCTAAGTTAACCCATGTGAAAGTAATTAAGGCGTAATTAAAATTGAAACATATATTATTTCCATATGTCTTTTAAATATAGGAGCTAATATTAGTATGTTTGTTTTGATAAGAAGATGATTAAAAGAAAATTTTGACCCAAAATGCATGTGTAAGAAGCCGACAGGGTAATTAATGATAGTTTTTTACTTTTAACCCTTATTATAAGGAGAGAGAGTTTTAAATGCAGGAGAAATGAAAGAGAATTTTTCAATCACATTCTTTAATGAGGGTAGAATAGGTAACTTCTATCAATCTGAAACAAATTTAATAACTTTAGCTAAGTTCTTATATTATATTCCTCTGATTCTGTTTATAAGGTAGACAGAAAAGATTTTTTCACTCCAATTTAATTTATATCTAGCTCACATTATTAAATTTTTAGCATAAATGTATTATTTTATTCTTTAGTTATTATGATGTAGATATTTCTTATTTTGAAAGGTGTATATATTAAATGGAGATAAAGTTAGAAAATGGTTATATTTTAGCAATTAACTATCAAAACTCTAAAATAGTACAATTTTTACATTTTTTATCACTTTTTTTTAAAAAAATTACTTTCCCACTAATGCATTTTTATTTATCTTTTAAATCATAAAAAATTCAAAATCACATCTGATCGTATCTTAAAATATTAAAATGTCACTCATTTTAGAAAAAAAGCATTAAAAACATTATAAAAAGGGACATTGTAGGATAAATCTCTGTTGAGGGTATTTTTTAAAAAAAGAAATTAAATCTCATACTTTTAATTATGTTACTTAATTTACATGATGCACACTCAAGTGTTTCTTAGTTATAGATAAGTTTAGAGGAAGTGGCTAGCACCACTTTCGCCATTATCATGGTTCAATAATCTCTGGTCAAAACCACATTATGGCTTGGTTGTGGAAGCCTGGTGCTTCGCTTTCGCCTCTTAAAATAGTCATGTATTGTTTATTATTATACTCACGTAGTCAAATTTACAATTAATCCTTCTACTATTCAACGCTCAAAATTACACCACAATGAACTAATTAGATAACAAAAGTAAGAGAAGCATGTGTCAGATTTCAAGTTTACATAATCGAACAAGATTCAGGGGAGGTAACTTCAATCCATTTAAGCACAACATTTCATACTACTAAATGAAACCTCAGGTTTCAGCACGCATTTTCGAACATTCTTATGCAAATGTGAAGTTTCCATTTTATAGACCCGCCTTTGCAAGGGATAAGTTATTGTTCCAAATCCAAAAGATAATCCATACCCACATCGCATGATAGTAAAGAACAAGGAGATAGAAAGAGAAAGAGAGTACCATGGGGGTGGGTGCGTGCTTTCATTAGGAGCTGCCAATAGCAGAATCAATATCATATGGTGTGGCAATCAAACACAAATTGTTCTTCCTTTTGTTTGTGACTGCAGCAGCAGCAGTCATATCTAAATCCTCAGGTTCCATTCCATGTGGGAGTTTCCAATCGAAGTGATAGAGTAAGCTAGCC